TCCCACCCCTTTGAGAACCACTGGTCTAGGATATTCACATGAATTTCCCAAATAACCTAATGGCCTTGGTAGTATCAAATTCATTTTCAGCTGTGGAAACTGAGACTCAAGGAAATAATAATACAGGTTATAAGTGGCGGAACCAGTATTTAACCATCATTCAATGTGACTCAGCTGAAATTGAGTGCTCTTTCAACTAAGAAATAGATTTTTCTTCCTTAGGGCAGAGTTAGTAAACAATAGTCTGAGAGTAAGAAATAGAGGGCACATGCCTGAAAGAAGCAAAAGATTAGGATCAAGACTTTGGGATCAGTAGGGGCTACAGAAAAGGGGCACTGATGGAGGTGATGGGAAGGAAAGACAACCAACGAGCCTGGCAATCACACTTAAAAGTCAACTCCTCTGTCTCTTATCACCTTTGCTAGAGACTAGAGCTAATCTTTCTTCAAATAATATTCTTTCTTGCACCTATGTCAACATTTTATGGGCTTCATGAGACAAAACCTAGAAAGACTGTGAAAAAGAAGGCTGAGGTATAGAAATGATGCTAATAGCTCCCCTACCATCACCAACTCTGGGAATTTGGAAACTTTTCAAAAATAAAATTTCTGGATTGTTCTTGTTATGTTTCAAGAAATCTTTGGCTCTGGACCAAAATTTCGGTCCTAGAACTTTAAAACTGTGTTATCCTGAGAACTAAGTTGCTTAATGCCTATTGGTCCGGGTCCCCATTTCTGTCCAGGTAAATGGAAAGGTAATACATTTTTGCCTCCCCTACCTTAATCCCTACTTGGAATGCTTTCAGGAATCTTATTTGTTTAGTAAGTATGCCAGCTATTACATACCAACCTTAAAATTATTAGGATATATCAACACTTTTTTTTAGTGAATTTTTTATTATGCTCTAAGTATGTTAAAAAAAACCACATTATTATACATTTTTTAAGTGTCTGCATTCTTTAAACTTAATTTGGAAAAGAGAAAAATGGTAGTCCATATGGCTTTTTTCAAAGCAAATTACTTGTGACAGTTATGTACAAGGCTGGTTCTTAAATCCACTCTTGGGAACTGAGAGGCAGTCAGGACTCAAATGCGGGCTCAGTGTACTGAGGCTGATAACATGTTGGCCAATCAACAGCCTCTGATGAACACTGATGAATGAATTTAGTCAACCTATAATGAGGACTCAAAGTTGCATAAAGCTTTGTAGCTAGCCTTACCTTGTCAACATTTTTAATCAACAATATGGGTGGGAAGCAAGGCAAGAAGTCCTCCCTGGAAAAAAAAAAAAAAAAAAAAAAAGGATTCTTCCTGTAGTACTCTAAGCTGGAAGCAGTCCACCCTATTACTGGACTCTACAAGAAACAGACACCCCACATCCTAAGGAAGCTGATTTCATCTCAGATTATTTCAGCCAGAGAGCTTGCCCTTACATAAGTACAAATCTTAATATTGTGGAGCTACATAAAGCTTGATTCCCTTCTAAATGAAAAATAGTCTTTATTTAAAGATTCACTATCATATCCATTCATTCCAACACAATTCCATTCCGCTTATATTCAAACCTCAATTTCAACTCCTTTCCAAATGATTTCAAAATACTCTCACTTATTTATATTTATTTTAAATATTTAAAATATATTTTAAACTGGACTCATACTCAAGTGAAGAATAACTGAATACAATATACTAATGTTAAACAGCATCAGAAGTCTAGTTGCTTGGCATTTCACTTTAGAACCTCCTTCATCCTTTCATAAAACTAAATATGGGCCACATTGGGAGACATGTTACTCATGAAAAAATGCAAAGTCAATAAGGGTATTACATGCAACAATCATTTGATTTCACAGCTTGAATCCTAATTTGGAATTATCCTGAGATAAACTGGTCTGTAGCAATCTGGTGCCAGGACCAAAATGTCATTTAACAGATATCCTGAACTAGATCATTCCTATATTTCTGCTTGCTGGCCCACTAGTCCAAGGCAAAGGGAAAAAATTAAGGAGAAACAGGCAAGAAAATATGTTCCATAAAACTCTTCCCACAGGATGTGTACCGACCTTCTTCAAGCCACACAGAGCTCTTGTGATACTGGCAAGGTTGCTAAACGTTACTGCGCAGAGAGAATCCACCTTTAAGACTGGAGTAGAGACAGGCAGAAAATGCAAAATGTCTAAACTGTCCAATTTTAAGAACATTTGTATTGAAAAGACAAAGTATTGACAATGTGCATACTTAGGCTATCTCCACTACTTCTTTACCTTTCCATTCTTCCCCATCCCAATCAGCATCTATATTACCCATTTAGATTTGAGGTCTCTCCTACCCCAACCTTCTCCTTTAAAGTAATATGCATTTTTTTTTTTTTTTTTTTACAGTGACCTTTCAGGGATAATGGCCCCTAATTCTGTTGAACAAGCAAAAGAAAAGGATCTTGCTGATGGTGAGATTTGGGGACAAATAATCTTGCTGATGTTGAGATTTGGGGACAAATAATGAGGTTGGCAAAAGAATGGTTATCTGGGAGAGGGCTAGGCAAGAAGGACCTTAAAGGTAGATCTCAGAGTTGGCCAGAGATGCTGTGTCAGGGAGGTGGAAATAACAATGGGAACCTACTACCCCAGGTTATGCTATCTCCAGTATCCCACAAATACCAGTATGTGGGGAGGGTAAATGGTCCAAGCAGATCAGATTTGCTTTAACTATACAAAAGGCAACAGTTGTATGAAACCAGTTAAAACCTCTGGACGTCCTGTGGCAATTTCTAGAATAAACTCACTCCATTGGGAAAGCAAATCTTCACCAAGTAAATGCACTGCCTCAGAAAGCCACCGGAAAGAACAGTTACTTGAAAGGTTGGTCTGCTCATAGGAGGGCCTGTCTCAGCACCCACACTAAAGGTAAACATTTATTGAATATTATTCTGTCCCAGGCCTTATGCTAAGCACTACATATGAATTACTTGATTTAATCATCCCAAAATGCAAGGAAGAATGTTGCTACTACTACTATTCCCATCTTACAGATAAGGAAACTGCTCTGAAAGAGGTTAAGTAACTTGAATGAGGTCATATAACTAGTAAATGGAAGAAGCTAGAACTCATGCAGTCTGAACATAGAACTCAGGCCTTCAACCACCACACCTTTATGCCTCCATAGTAGAAAAAGATGACAGTTCACAAATCGTTAATCTCTTATTAGCAGATTTCATTTTAGAACACAGCCAACAAATACAGGAAAAAAAGAGAGAAAGGAAGGGAGGGAGGGAAGGAGACCCCCAAGAGTGTCTGCTCACGTGAGTTTTTAGGAACTAATCTGCTGAAGACACAAATGATAACAACAAAGGTTCAAACCAGAGACTATAAACCTTAGTTTTATGTTAAAAAAAAAAGGGGGGGGGGACAACCAGCCTATCTATCTCACAGCACTGGTGAGAAGAGTAAATGAAGTAATTAAATACATACAAAAGCATTCTGTAATCTTCAAAGCACTATACTCTACTAGAATCATTTTTGTTACACACAGAAAGCATAGGTATGGAAAATCAACCAGGCAGAACACATTTTCAACACAACTGCAAAAGGGCCTATTAACTAATGGAAACAGATATAAAGCATACAACTAAGACCAAGTGAAAATTATTTCCCAAGATATTTTTATCAGCTTTTAATGCTATTGCTGGGAGCATATTCACTCAGAATTTAACATATACTTGTGGGAACTTCATGTCAGAAACGAAATGTAGAAGAGCAAACACAACATCATCTCCTCCTCCCAGCTATGTAAGTAGGCAGTGTCAGCAAATGCCAGCTCAAATACCACCCTCCATGCAGCCATCCTTGATGTCTCCAGTCAGAATTGATCAAGCCATCCCCTATATACTCTCACAGCACATCTGCTATTTCCTTGGCATTTCATTCTGAGGGATATCAAGTTATCAGTTGCTTCCAAGCCTGACTTCCTACTTCTTGAACTCAGTAAATTCACACAGAACCCCAAACACCTAAGGCAGATGATCGTGTTGGCTGGCACTCAAATGTTTGCTCTCCGAAGTTCGTATGTCTCAATTCTAAATATGCGGCTGTAGTTTCAGGCTGCATTTCAGGGTAAACACAGACACACCACAAACGTAAAAAAATTCAGGATGGAGAAAAATCTGATTGTTCATACATAGTATCTTCTTTTCTTGATCTATGCGTTAAAGAAATGCTCTTTTAAAAACCGAATGGGAGGCACAAACGGAAACGAAAGAGCAGACAAATGCTTTAGAACCTTCAAAATTCCGTTTCTAATTCAGAACTACTCTCTCCTACCTAATTTCACAAACACATTAGGCACCTTTTGCAACACAAAGAGAGGGTATTCTATCTCATCGCTGATCCGTTCTTGGAATAAAAGACCATGACTTTCATTTTTAAACATCACTTAAGGGCGGGTACTATTTACTTTTCAAATTTTGAACCCAGAGCAAAGGACACGGCTGGGTTAAGCAAAGGAAAGGAGGTTGGAAATGGAAAAGACTCCCCAACTAGCACTGCTGGCAGGCCCAAGGACAGAAACACTAAACTTGTGTAGGGGACGAAGGAATCTTAGGCAAGGCTCCCAGGAAACGTGCTTCAATGGGCTTCACCACACGCCACACGGGTGGCACAGGGGCGTAAAATACTGTTGAGATTCCTTTCTGACGAGGCCTCCTTCGACGCCGGAGTCGGCCGGGTGAGGCCGCCGGCGGAGGCAGAACAGCCTGGCCGCCCTCCCTTCAGACCCCAGGATGCTGTCATCCTCCTCCAAAAGGCACACAGATGAACCCAGTAATCACGACGCGCTCCCGTCCCCCAGGACGCGGCCTCCCATTGCCCGAGGAGAACGCGGGTTAGGGTCTGCACCCATCTCGGCGCCTCACGCCCCGTCCCCGCTACACGGAGACCGCCCTCGGCTCCGGAGGGCGACTTCATACCCGACCCTGTAACGTAGAAGTGCCCAGAATCACCCATTACCTTCCCCAAGCAAATGTGGCACGTGATGGGCAGAGTGAGCGACAATGTAACGTTCTGCACGGTCTGAGCCATGGCAGCGTTCAGAATCCCGCCAACACGGAAGTCCCGCCGACGGCGGCTCCTCGCCGCGTCTGGGGCCGCGCGAGGCCGGCTACGGCAGCCCGGCAGGGCCATAGCCCGCCGGGAGAGGAAACGAAAACGCGCTTTCGAAACGCGCGGTCACCACGGCTTTTCTTTCCTTCCTTCCTTCCTTCCTTCCTTCCTTCCTTCCTCCCTCTCTTCCTTTCCTCCCTTCCTTCCTTTCCTTAAAAAAAAATTCCCGTGTTGGGGAGCTGCAAGATCCTTGAGAATAAGAAGGAAGGCAGTATACTACAGGCATCGATGGAGGATCCTGAAAGTTTAAATGAAAAAGTGCGGGGCCGAGAGGAAGATGGGGAAGGCGATTTTAAATGCCTTACTCTTTCCCAGAGGATGGAGGGGGAGTTTCCGCCTAAAAATTAAACCCTACACAGTCTGCAAACACATGGCGCAGTCAAAACAGGAAGAGAAAAGATGTTATCTATATATTTTAATTTTTCAAAACAACTTTCTGCCGCTCTCAGGTCTTTTTCCATTCTGAAATGATGTAATGTCACTTAAAAGCAACAGTGATTGTCTTTTGATCTGTTTCCGAAACAGGTTACATTTTATTGCAACTTTCCCTGAAGACATTCTTTTAGTTGGCGCTTCTGTGGTTTCTAACAGAGACTTAAGGGTCCGAGCCACCGACTCTGATTTACACCCACCAGTGAGAAAGCTGCAGGTAGTGCCAGTCGTCCACATTCCCGGAAAGCACTTGCACAAGCGTTTAAAGCCTTCCTTTCAGGTGCGTGTTGGGTAAGGTATGTATCATTGAGCTGTAGAACTCGGAAGGACAGTGTGTGAGGTTCTAAGTCAGCATTTTCTACCAGTGGAAAAGAAGAACTAAAAGTCCCTACATGAATCTTGAATATAACAGATTTGGAATTTAACAGCAACTAACTTTAAGTGAGAAAGAGCCAATGTAATTAATTTATGCAAACAAATACAATTTGTGAGTAGGGAGTTTTAGAAACAAAACCAATGGAAAGACTTTTGGTAATCTTTCGGAAAAAGAGTATGATCACGAGAAGCACGTGGTCAAAGGAAAGGGGTTCTGGACCTGTACCGGTAGGGTAGCATTCCCTGCCCCGACAACTTCCTACTCTACTGGCTTCAGACAATTTATTTGACCTCTCTGCTTCTTAGCTTCAGTTTTGGTAAAGTGTGTGTGCGTGTGTGTATTACATGAGGTCAATGTATGCTTACTATCGTGTTTCAAAGAAACAGACAATAATGGGACTGGACCAGCCAGTAATTCACCTAAAGAAGCCCATGTCGAGTTCAAAATCGGCTCACAGACAACAGTGAGAATTCTTCCAAACAGCTCAAAACTTCATTTCCTTGGAATTGGAGGCCGTCATCTGTTTGGAATTGGAGAATTAGGCAAAATAGTCACATCGCTTGTTTGGTTAATGGCCACTTTTTCAAAATGCCTGGCATAAAGTCACCTGGTTTGGTTATTTTCTGGCTATTTGAAATAATATTTTTATGTGGTTTGGAGTTCACATGTTTTGCTAATATATCTTTCCTGTCCCTAGATCTCAGACTTCAGAATGAGAAATCTCCAGGTCATTTATTACCCACTGTCATTCAAGTTTCACCTTTTCCTCATCCTGCAGTGTTCTTCCCTACTCTCACCTTGTCCATTCCCTGTTCTCACCTCACTGATACCTAAGATGGTATGTTAGGACCTGTCATTGCCACCCTCTGAGTAGGATGTAGGACTGAGAATGTTCTGCCTCTCACATCCATCCCTGGAAACAGTGCAGCAGGGAGACATGTTGAAGACAATTTTTTAAAAAATTCTTTTCCGTTGTTGATGGAGAAGATTCATTTCTTGTTAATCACCTTGGTGATTGGTGTTAATAGTCACAAAGTGAGTTTAAAAAATTGTAACCTACATTTTAAGTAGAATGTTAAAATCTAGAGTATTCCCAGCCTCTCTTTCCCCATTCACTATCATTGTCACAGCTCCTTAGTGCTGTTGTTGTAGTTTGTCCATATAGTTATTTCAGTGCTGATCACATCGTATTATAGTTGGTTGTTTATGTGTTTGCCCCCACAACAGACAGTTTTTTGAGGTCAGAGATTGTGTCTTGATTTATCTCTAGTATCTGGTACTAGGTGACTATTCCACGAAAGGTAATATTTTCTTTAGCTACAGACTCAGGCTGTTTTAAACATTGCCTTTACTTGTTTTTCACTGCAAAATGGAAGACTGTGTTGCTTTTTTGCTAATTATAAAAATAATAAGGCTTGTCTTAAGAAAATTAAGCCATTTATAAATATATAAAATAACAAGCAAAAGTTCCTCTGTACTTATGCCTCATCTTCCTATCCTGTGTGGTAATCACTATTAAATTCTAAAGCATATCCTTACAAACAGTTTAACTCATATATTTGTGCATAAGCCCAAATAGGATCATACCAAAATATACCTGCTTTGTTTACTAATGCTTGTGAATAGGCGTGCACACACACACACACACACACATCTAAATAATATTGTTAGCAATATGGGCTGATGAGGACTATCTCTAGGTCCAAACTGATTCCAGGCCAATTCCCAGGCATCACTTTTAATAATACAAATGGTTTAAGGCCAAGAACTATCCTTTCCCTCTGCTCTATGAACAGCATTTCTTTTTGTTGACAAATCACGTTCTAAACAGATGTCATTTGGCCAAAATTGTTAAATAATGTTGCTATTACTCTAATAGGAAAACAAAGATTATATGGCTCGTTGACTTTGTGCTGTATCTGTGTCTTGGCTTCTTAGTAGCCTTATGGAGAGTCCTGTGACCTGAGGGGTACCATCAGATATAGCACCTGGAATGGGTTAACCCCCCCTAAATTCTTAGAACTATAAACTTTTAGAACTGGAAAGAATCTTACAGGTTTTTATGCAGGTCTCTCCTTTCACAGATGAAGACATTGAAGGTAAACCACCAGAAAATGGTAGATTTGGAGTTAAATCCTAGATCTTACTTGGATTCTCTAAGATTGTTGGCCTGTTGCCTTTGTGTAAGTGCAAGATGTATTATTATTAATAAAGGAGTTCGGTAATAAAAAGTCAGTCATAATTGAATTTCTTTGCTAAGAAAACCATCAAATAGCTATGGAACACCTTTTACCCCTTGTTTAAATCAGATTCATTTTTATGATAAATTATTTAAAGGCAAGTTTAAAAAAATATAAAATCTTAAGTGCTATTAAAAATTGATTAGGCATGCATTATTCTCTCATTGACCCAGTTCAGATTGTTTTTTAATTTTTTTGGTCAAAGCTAATAAATTTGAGTAGATGTTTCAGACAGACGTTTTGTAATCATTTGGCCATCAGTCAATTAATCACAACTTCATAAATATTGATTTCAGATTACATTTATCTTTCATTCCTGAAACACAATCTTTTTTGTTGTTGTTTGTGTTTTTTTTAAAGATTTTATTTATTTATTTGACAGAGAGAGACACAGTGAGAGAGGGAGCACAAGCAGGGGGAGTGGGAGAGGGAGAAGCAGGCTTCCCACTGAGCAGGGAGCCTGATGCGGGGCTCGATCCCAGAACCCTGGGATCATGACCTGAGCCAAAGGCAGACGCTTAACGACCGAGCCACCCAGGTGCCCCTGTTGTTGTTTGTTTTAAATTTATACTCCGCCACTTGGATTGTGGTTAACACTGAGGAAACTCATAGAAGTTGGATTTAAAAAAAAATAATCATAGGTGCTGGCCCGGCTGCATGGACGTCAAGCATAGAACAGTCTTCTCATAGGCTGGGAATTCTGAGCTAGAATATCTCAGGATGGTGGCATGAAAGATGCTTGTTACTACAGCCGAAGTTTTTCTTGCAAGTTTTTTTTTTTTTAAATAGACTACTGGAAGTTAACATGAATTTGTATAATGTATTTCTACTAAAAACATTAAGCAACAACTAACTCCAACAAAGTTCTGTCTCATGGAGCTGTCCTTCCAGTGGGAAAGTTACACTGCATTGGCTTAGAACCAAATCTTGGCCTCTAGAGTAGCAGATGAGGTTTTAATGCTGAATCTACACATCAAATTTGTATGTAAATCACAATATAAGTGATTGCAGAATGAATGAATGAATGAATGAAGTTATGTATTATTCCACAAATATTTAAAGTTTTTTTTTTTGTTTGTTTTTGTTTTTAACGTGGCAGGCACTGGTCTAAGAGCCTGGTACTCAGCTATGAATCCCTGTCTGCTTTTATTCATTCAACAACCACTTGGCTGACTACCCTTGAGGTGCCAGCCGCTGTACTATTTTTTCTTTTCTTTTTTTAAGTAGGCTCCACACGGAAAGTGGGGCTTGAACTCACAACCCTGAGGTAAAGAGTCACATGCTCTGCCAACTGAGCCAGCCAACACCCCACCACTGTACTATTAATAAGCCACTTTATCAATGGAACTATGGAGCCCAACTCTTCTATTTCACCATAAAGTGCCTATTCCTACAGTAATTTCTCTTCTAGGTGTTCTTATTGTGGGTTAGCCTCTGGCATTGTGACACAGCAAGTTACAGTTTTAAATATTTTAAAATGTTGCAAATTGGGTGATTGTTTTAAATTAGGTAATTTTTAAAAGAATATTTTAGTTCCACCTAAGGCTAAGTGGTACTTCACAAATGTTTGTTGAATGCTAGAGAATAAATAAAGGAAACATTACCTCCGGGAATATTGTAACAGGAACCACAAATACAAAGAAGTTGTGGCATTTGCCACAGTAACAGAATAGGGAACCCCGCTCTGAGATCCTGACTGCTTTTGTCTTTAAATTGCCTGACAGACCATATTCCTTTTTGCCCTAACTTCCAAGGTGAGATCCTCCATTAAGAATTAAAAGCCAGGGATGCCTGGGTGGCTCAGGCTGTTAAGCATCTGTCTTTGACTCAGGTCACGATCCCAGGGTCTTGGGACTGGGATCCCCACATGGACTTCCTGCTTGGCGGGGAGACTGCTTCCCCCTCT